GTTCCATTGTCTCTGCATCCTCAGGTACACTTAGTTGATACGGTGTATTAAAAAAAAAATACAGGCCGGCGCCGCGGCTCACTAGGCTAATCCTCCGCCTTGCGGCACCGGCACACCGGGTTCTAGTCCTGGTCGGGGCACCAGATTCTGTCCCGGTTGCTCCTCTTCCAGGCCAGCTCTCTGCTGTGGCCCGGGAGTGCAGTGGAGGATGGCCCAAGTGCTTGGGCCCTGCACCCACGTGGGAGACCAGGAGGAAGCACCTGGCTCCTGGCTTTGGATCGGGTGCAGCGCACCTGCCGTAGCGGCCATTTGGGGGGATTTGGGGGGTGAACCAATGGAAGGAAGACCTTTCTATCTGGTTCTCTCTCTCACTGTCCACTCTGCCTGTCAAAAAAAAAAAAAAATACGGTCAGTTTAGGGGATTTTGATTTGCAGTTCCCTAATGATTTGTGGGTTTTTAAAAAAGATTTATTTATTTGAAAGTCAAAATTACACAGAGAGGGGAGAGGCAGAGAGAGAGAGAGAGGTGGCGGGGGGGGGGGGTTCTTCCATCTGCTGGTTCACTCTCTATATGGCTACAATGGCTGGAGCTGGGCCAATCCAAAGCTAGGAGCCAGGAGCTTCTTCTAGGTCTCCCAAGTGAGTGCAGGGGCCCAAGGACTTGGGCCATCTTCTACTGCTTTCCTAGGCCATAGCAGAGAGCTGGATCAGAAGTGGAGCAGCCAGGTCTTGAACCGGCGCCCATATGAGATGCCGGCACTGTAGGCCAGAGCATTAACCCGATATACCACAGTGCTGGCCCTATGATTTGTGTGATTTGAGCAGATTTCTGTGTGCTAATTTGCCATTTTTAATATCTTCTTTGGAACAATTCCTATTCAAGATTTTGTTCATTTAAAAATTTGGTTGTCAGGGTGGGCACTGTGGCATAGCGGGTAAAGCTGCCACCTTCAGTGCCGCCGTCCCATGTGTGTGCCAATTCGAGTCCTGGCTGCTCCACTTCTGATCCAGCTCTCTGCTATGGCCTACAAAAGCAACAGAAGATGGCCCAAGTCCCTGGGCCCCTGCACCCATGTGGGAGACCTAGAAGAAGCTCCTGGTTCCTAGCTTTGGATTGGCCCAGCTCCAGCCATTGCAGCCATATAGAGAGTGAACCAGCAGATGGAAGACCTCTCTCTCTCTCTCTCTCTCTCTGCCTCTCCTTCTCTCTCTGTGTAACTCTGACTTTCAAATAAATAAATAAATCTTTATAAAAAATAATTGGGTTGTCTTTATTGTTGAATGGTACAAGTATTTTTTTTTATACTCTAGGTATGAGAAACTTAACAGGTGTATGATTGGCAAATATTTTCCCCCACTGGATTATCTTTTCACTTCATCAGTGACCTCTGAAGCACAAATGTTCTGAATTTTGATTAACTCCTGGGCTGGCATCGTGGCACAGCAGTTTAAGCTGCCACCTGTGACTCTTGCATCCTGTATGAGTGCCACTTGGCATGCTGGCTTCTCCACTTCCCATCTAGCTTCCTACTAATGCACCTGAAAAAGCTGTGGAGGATGGCCCAAGTGCTTGGCCCTTGCCACCCACGTGGGAGACCTGGATGGGATGCATTCCTGGCTGCTGGCTTTGGCCTGGCTGGGCCCCAGATGTTGCTGCCATTTGGGAAGTGATCTGGTAGATGGAAAGTTCATACTCTCTCTCTCTCTCTCTCTCTCTCTCTCTCTCTCTGCCTTAAAGTAAATTTGTAAAACATTTTTTATGGAATCCAATTTCTCTATTTTTCTTTTGATTGGTTGTGCTTTTGGAATCATACCCAACAAAGCATTGTCTCAGTCCAAGGCCAGAAATATTCACATGAATTTTCCCCCTAAGATTTGTATAGTGTTAGCTCACAATTTTAGCTCTAATATCCATTTTGAGTTAATTTTTGTATTTGATGTGACGTGGGGAATCCAAATTTGTTCTTTTATATGTGGCTATCCAGATGTTCTAGCACCATTTGCTGAAGACAATTCTTTCTCCATTAACTGGCCTTGGCATCCTTGTCAAAAAGCCAGTGACTAGGGGTAGGCCTTTGACCTGCCTGGGACTGCCACATTCCATATCAGAGCGCCTGAGTTCAAGTCCTGGCTCTGCTGATTCCAGTGTCTCAGTATCGTGCACCCTGGGAGGCAGCAGGTGACAGCTCAAGTACTCAGTTCTCTGCCACCCACATGGGAGACCTGGACTGAGTGTTCAGGCTCCTGGCTTCGGCCTGGCCCAGCCCCAGCTGTTGCAAGCATTTGGAGAGTGAACCAGTGGATGGAGACTCTCTGTCTTTCTCTGTGTCTCTCCCTGCTTTTCAAATAAAATTTTTAAATCAGTTGATGATGAATATATGGTTCTTTTATGAACTCAGTTTTATCCCATTGATCGATAGATCTCTCCCTATACCAATATCATGCTGTAGCCTCATGGCTCATGTGTGAACCCTGAGGCTGAGTTAAGCTAGCAGCATTTAGGCCTCTCCCAGTGCTGTGCAGTCATCACCACTGTCCGGTTCCTGAGTGTGGTCATTTTTTAAATCAGGACCTGTGAACCCTCCAACTTTGGTCTTCCCTTTCAAGATCGTTTTGGCTTTTCTGGGTCCCTTACATTTCCATATGAATTTTAGGATCAGCTCCTTTTGCCCAAGAAGCAGTTGGGATGTCAATAGGGATTGCATTGAACCCGTGGATCAGTTTGGGGAGCACCACCTTCTTAAAATGTCTCCCAGTCCATGAACATGGGTGTTCTTCCATTTGTTTATATTTTCTTTAATTTCTTTAAGCAGTGTTTTGTAGTTTTTGGTGTACAGGTCTAGCACATTAAGTTAAGCTTATTTCCAAGCATTTTACTCTCTTCAGTGTCACTGTCAGAGAAATTGTTCATCTTTGGATGATTCATTGCTAATATTTGGAAATACAATTGATTTTTCTATAGAGCTCTTGTATCCTGAAGTCTTGTTGAACCATTTATTAGCTCTAACATGGCGTGTATATGTGTTTTCCTTAAGACTTTTCTATGTCAGTGACCAAGTCATCTGCAAATAGATATAGTTTTATTCCTCCCTTCTAGTCTGGATGATTTTAATGTTAATTGTCTAACTGCCTTCACTTGAGATTCCAGTAATATGTTGAATAGAGAAACAAAAGCTCTGGTTTTTAGGGGGAAAGCTTGGGGGAAGTTTAGGGGAAAATATCTTACACCATCGAGTATGACATCAGCTGTGGGTTTTTCATAGACACCCTTTACCAGGTTGAGGAAAGTCCCTTCTATTTCTAGTTTGTTGATTTTTTTTTATCATTAAAGTATGTTGGATTTTCTCAAATGCTTTTCTAACAAGAGTATCATATTTTCCCTTTTATTTTATTAATATGATACACGGTATAGCTTTTCATAGATTGAATCAATTTTGTAAGCATGGGATGAATTCCACTTGGTTATGATTTATAAGTTTTTTTGTATGTGGTTTGATAGAATTTGTTATTTCTATTCATCAAAATTTTGATCTGGGGCCAGCATGGTAGCATAGCAAGTTAAGCCTCCACCTCTGATACCAGCATTCCATATGGGAGCCACTTGTTCCACTTCCGATCCAGCTCCTGGGAAATGCACCTGGGAAAGCAGCAGAAGATGGCCCAAGTGCTTGTGCCCCTGCACCCATGTGAGAGACCCAGAGGAAGCTCCTGGCTCCAGGACTTGGTCCCGCCCTGGCTGTTGTGGCCATTTGGGGAGTGAACCAACTGATGGGAGATCTCTCTCTCTCTCTTTCTCTCTGTAACTCCTTTTTTTTTTTTTTTTTTTTTTTGACAGGCAGAGTGGACAGTGAGGGAGAGAGACAGAGAGAAAAGTCTTCCTTTTTGCCATTGTTTCACCCTCCAATGGCTGCTGCGGCCGGCGGGCTTTGGCCGGCGCGTCGCGATGATCTGAAGCCAGGAGCCAGGTGCTTCTCCTGGTCTCCCATGCGGGTGCAGGGCCCAAGCACCTGGGCCATCCTCCACTGCACTCCCGGGGCATAGCAGAGAGCTGGCCTGGAAGAGGGGCCACCGGGACAGAATCCGGCGCCCTGACCGGGACTAGAACCCGGTGTGCCGGCGCCGCAGGCGGAGGATTAGCCTAGTGAGCTGCGGCGCTGGCCTTGTAACTCTCCCTTTCAAAAAAAAAAAAAAAACTTTAAAAATGTTTATTGAACTGTAGTTTTAAAATTAATTCTTAATTTTTAAAAGCTATTTATTTATTTGAAAGAGTTGCAGAGAGGGAAACACACACACACACACACACACACACAGATTTTCCACCTGCTGATTCACTCCCCAAATGGCCCCAATGGCCAGGGCTGGGCCAGGCTGAAGTCACCAGCCAGAACCTCCAGCAGGGTCTCCCAAGTGGGTAATAGGGTTCCAAGTACTTGGGAAACCTCTGCCTGCTTTCCCAGGCAACATGAGCAGGGAGTTGGATTGGAAGTGGAGCACCTACATGGGATGTCAGCATTGCAGGTGGTGGCTTAACCTGCTGCCCCACAACACTAGCCCCAATTCTTTTTATTTCTGTAAGATTGATAAATGTAAATAATTTCCTGTCTCTCTGAAAGATTATTTATTTGAAAGAATTACAAAGAAGACAGAGAGAGAGAGACGGATCTTCCATCCCCTGGTTCACTCCCGAGATGCCGGGGAAAGACTGAGTACCAGCGAATGTAAAAGAGTGTTCTATCTGGAAAGCTCAGGCCTGCCCTAAGGGATCGCCTTGGTTGCTGCACTGAAAATACAGACAGGGGAAGAAGGGACAGAGACAACCAGGAGGCTATACCAATCCCGGTGCTAGAAGAGGCTGGCGTTGGTAAAGAAGCGGTCGGATTCTCCTGGACTGAAGCCCAAGAGCCAGGATGACAAGGGTTTTGGGCGAAATTACGGGAAGAACGGAGCTGTCGCTTACTGAGCGAGGACTAGGAAGGGTGGATTTTGGAGGGTACGGGGTATGGGAAGCTCAGTATTAGACACGTGGATTTGCTACCCACGGATATGGGGTGGGGGGACGCCGAATAGGCAGGCGCGTACACAGGGCGACGTCCCGTGCTGGAGGCGGACTGGAGTTGTAACCTGGCGTCCGCGCGTGAACCGGCCCCGCGCTGCGGTGGCGGGAGCGGCCCGGGAGCCGCTGCACACACTTGCGGGATCAGGCCGTGCCCGCGAGGGGCGCGGCGCGGTGCGGGTCTCGGCCTTGGGTCACTGGAGGAGGTGCGGGGCTGCGGGGAGGCCGAGGCACCCGCGTCGGCCGCGTTTGCGGTGTCCGTGGCGGAGCCCAGGGGAGGAGCTGGCCGGGTGGCGGTAGGGCTCCGGGGACACGGCCTGGCGCTGGCAACGGAAGCCAGAGGAGCGGCGGAGAAAGGCCAGGGCGTGAGGCTGTCGGCCGCCGGGAAAGGGAGAACACCGCTTCCCAAGTTCGCTCTTTATTTCCCTTCAATGCCCGCGGCCCTCACAGAAAACGCCCCCAAGTCGGCGGCTACCCCAGACGGCAACGGAGGCGCGGGCTGAGGACCACGCCCAGAGGGGGCGTGCCCGCGATGATGAAGTCACGAGGAGGCGGGGCTGTTGGGGACGCTCCGCCCCCTGGTATCCTGGGCTGGTGCCGCAGGCGCTGCCTCGGGGCGCTGGGTCCCCTGCCGGCCGCCTCCGCCGCCGCTGTCCTCAGGCCAGCTGGAGCAGACCGCGCTCGGCCAGCAGGCCCTGGGTGCGGTTGTAGACGTCCTCCAGGGTGCCGGCGGCTCGGGCCAGCGCCGCCCGCGCCTCCGCCTCTCTGGCTCCGGGACACGCCAGCTCGAGCAAGGCGCCGCGACCCGGGAGCGCGAGGAACGCGAGGCGGGCGGCCTGGCGGACCAGCCAGGGGTGGTGCGGGGCCAGGGCCGTGCCGTAGGCGTCGCCGCACTGCACTCCAGCGTCAGGGCCTTCGAGCGCCCCGGTGGCCACGCGGTGGAGGCAGAGTTGGGACCAGCGCAGCGCGCGGTGCAGCAAGAGCAGCGTCCGGGAGCCCGAGGACCGCGCCGAGTCCCCGGGTTCGGTCCCCGTCCGCTCCAGCAGTCCGGTCCGCTGCTCCCAGGCCGCCATGGTCACCAGCGACGAGTAGTGCGCGGCGTGCGGGCCGTGTACCCGAGCCTCCAGGGCTGTCACCTTGGCGAAGGCCTCGCTTATAGCGAAGGCGAAGATGGAGCCGAGGGGAGTTAGGAACCTGCGTGTTTAGTGGTGGGACAAGGAAGACGATCTGAGAGAGCGCCATGAAACCCCGAGGAGGGAGGCGCTGGCTGGGGGGCGGGAGACCCCTCACCTGAGTAGTTCCCTCCATCCAGCCAAGTACCGCGACAAGGCGACATCCCCTTCGGGGATCAGACTGGCGCGGAAAGGCCGCATCATGCGGCCCAGCATCCCGTTAGGGCCCAGGCACGGAGGCTCTTCTCGTTCCGAGGCCACCTGGGGGCCCGATTCTCTCCGGACCTGGGAGTGGGCAGGAGAGGAAGAGGGCTTGCTTGGCACTCAGACCCGTGCGGCTCGGAGGAAATTGTTCTGGCGGTCTAACTGGAGATGGGTCAGAGGGGGAGGCCCCTCAGCCTGGCTCCATCTCCCGCTATGGAGGGCCTCACCTGGAGCTCCTGGATCCCGCCCTGGCCCGGGCGTACCTGCACAGGTAGCCGTGCCTTCGGAATGCAGGACCGGACCCCGGGTCTGCACCCCGAGAGGATACCTGGGGAAAGGCGAAGTGAGTGGTGAGGGCGCCAGAAAGAGACTTGGACACCCGCCCCTGCCCAGGCTTGGACTCCCCGCTTCCTCCCCGGGCGGGTGAGGGAAGAGGCCACTCACTGGATGCCGGACCACTGAAATACAGCAGGAGCAGCAGTGCCAAGGCAGCGAGAGAAAGGGCGCCGCGGGACCAGCGCCGCAGGGCGGGTGGCGGCAGCGCGACCCCCATGGCTGCTGCTGGGATCGCCGCCCCCTCTCCAGTCCCTCCGACTCTAGGAGCGGAGAGAAGCCCTCAGGGCACTAAGGCGCAAATGGTTAATAATTAACCTACTAAGGCCCCCTTCTCGCTGGCCTTCGCCCCCGGAGGGCAGGTACCCCGGGGCGAGGGACCACAGGAAGGGGATTTGGGGATTTGGCCCCACCATTCCCTTCCCCGAAGGGCCGGCTTGCAGGTGCAAAGCCTGGGCTACCCAGCCGCCCCTCCCATGGAGCCGCTGTGTGGGCTGTCAGTTACCGCTGGGTTTGAGTTTCCCCCACTGTAAATTGACGATAATAATAGGTACTTTGCAAGCCTCGCCTGAGGATTAAATGATAATGTATGTGAAAACGCCACACATGGAAAAGCTGACCACAATTGCCCCATAAATCTCACTAGGGTCGGCAGAGGTTGGGGGTGGGGCCAAGGAGGCAGGAACTCCATCCTGGTCTTCCCTGTGGGTGGCAGGGCCCAAGTATTTGGGCTGTTAGCTCATTAGCAGGGAGTTGAATATGAAGTGAGCAGCTAGGACTCCAGTGGGTGCTTTGAAAAGCCATCACAAGGGGTGGCTGAACTTTTTGTGACTTAATTTTTTAAATTCCAGACAGGCTCCTCAGTCATGCATCGAATCCATCTTTTTTTTTTTTTTTTTTGACAGGCAGAGTGGACAGTGAGAGAGAGAGACAGAGAGAAAGGTATTCCTTTTGCCGTTGGTTCACCCTCCAATGGCAGCCGCGGCCAGCGCGCTGCAGCCGGCACACCGCCATGATCCGAAGGCAGGAGCCAGGTGCTTCTTCTGGTCTCCCATGGGGTGCAGGGCCCAAGCACTTGGGCCATCCTCCACTGCACTCCCTGGCCACAGCAGAGAGCTGGCCTGGAAGAGGGGCAACCGGGACAGAATCCAGCGCCCTGACTGGGACTAGAACCTGGTGTGCCGGTGCCGCAGGCGGAGGATTAGCCTAGTGAGCCACAGCACCGGCCGAATTCATCTTGTTAACAACCTCCACAAGTCTGGCCCCGTGCCACATCTCCAGAACACAAAAGCGCTTCACAAAATTTGTCGTCTGCCTCCCCACTGGGATGGGAGCTGTGGGGAAGACAGGGATCTTTGTTTTTCTTGGTTGTCTGCAGCACTTAGAATGTTGCTTGGGCCAAAGCACACTATTGCTAAATAAGTAGGTACTGAAGAAACAAAGGAAGGTCAAGTCCCATGTAGCCAGGCTTGTTGGCTTTGTAAACTAGGAGTCCACCTGGTGGTCCCGGGCGGAAAGGCATCCCAGGGAAGGACACAGGGGCACAGAAACAATGGCATTTGTTCTGAGGGTGCTTAGTCCCCTATGAACCTCTTAGAGTTGCCTTTTTTTTTTTTTTTCCGGCAGAGTGGACAGTGAGAGAGAGAGACAGAGAGAAAGGTCTTCCTTTGCCGTTGGTTCACCCTCCAATGGCCGCTGCGGCCGGCGCACCGCGACTGGCGCACCGTGCTGATCCGATGGCAGGAGCCAGGTACTTCTCCTGGTCTCCCATGGGGTGCAGGGCCCAAGTACTTGGGCCATCCTCCACTGCACTCCCTGGCCACAGCAGAAAGCTGGCCTGGAAGAGGGGCAACCGGGACAGAATCCGGCACCCCGACCGGGACTAGAACCTGGTGTGCCGGCGCCGCAAGGCGGAGGATTAGCCTAGTGAGCCACGGTGCTGGCTAGAGTTGCTCTTGTCTCTCCTGATCCTGCAGGGGTCAGGGCCTCAGTCCCCCAGCTCCTGGATTCTTGCCCTGTGCTCACTCTGAGGCCCCCTCCCATGCTGGAGGTCCCTGGGTTCCTCCTGGTCAATCTTGTTCCTGGGAGTGTTAGGTAGGAAGTCAGATATGAGCTTATACGTGCATGACAAAGGCCTAAGGAGACTTCTAGGTCCAGCATATGCATCTCAAAGTCATCCCGATAACCTGCCAGGGGCAGCCCATATCTGCACTTCAGACATCCTGCCCATCCTTCCTCTAACTGGGTGACGCCAGCCAGGCTTTCTCCTGTCTGATAACTTCAGGGGTAAAACTCAGAAAGAAATTTTTAGTATTTACATCCAAAAAGTCCTTTGTTCCAGGAGGAGAAGATGTGGGAAGACAAGACCCATCCCCTTAAAAACCTCCGGCCTCAACGGGACTGCGCGCTCAGCCCTCTGCCTCTCTGCTGAGCTGCCCGCCTGGCCTCTACAGGTGTACTCTCTCCACTCAACCAGGTAGCCCCGCTCTCCCCCAGTCTGAGCGACTGGGCACTCTCTCTCAGGTCCTGTCTGGAGAGGCGCCCATCCATTCTTACGGATGTCCCTGCCCTAATAAACCTTGCTATTTGCTTTCGACTTACTCTCTGTCTCCCGCCTGAATTCTTTCTTGTGCAGACAAGAACCCTGCAGTTCTCTGGTAACAGGAGGATTCCCACAAGATCACTTCCATCCCCAGTCCTGGTCTCCTCTCCCATGGCTGGAATGTTTCCCTGCTGGCTATGACCTTAAGGCAAGTCACTTGTCTTTTTTTTTTTTTTAATTGGTTGATTCCTTTGTTGACTGCTTTGAAAGGCAGAGCAACAGAGAGAGAGGTCTTCCACCCACTGGTTCACTCCCCAGATGGCTGCAACAGCCAGGTCCGGGCCAGGCCAAAGCCAGGAGCCAGGAATTCCATCTCGGTCTCCCACATGGGCCATCCTCTGCCGCCTTCCCAGGCAGGTGAGCACAGAGCTGGATGGGAAGAGGAGTAGACAGGACTCCGATCCGGGCTCCTGGCATCAGAGCAGCGGCTTAACCCGCGGTGCCACAACAGCCGCCCCGCCCCTGTTCCCTCATCCACGAAGCAGGAAGAGTAATTCCACGCCCAGTTTTTTTTGGGTGAGGATTAAAGACAACAAACGCTAACCACAGCCCTTGGCCTGCAGTCAGCTGTCTCCAGGACTCTCCCTGACCCTCCTCCCCTACCTTTGCAAGCTTCCGCCACCACCCCCTCCCCCTCGGAGAGGGGAATCAAGTGTGCAGGCTTCCCGGAGCAGCTTAGTTTCAGGTATCACTTAAGTCCGACGGTTTTTCCGTAATCAGAACCTCGGTGCGGGCGGATGGAGCTGGCATAAGCCTGCCTAAGGGGCCTGGCTCACAACAGCCGCAACATGGAGCAGGGCGCTGGACGCAAGCCGCTGCTGCCGCTGCTGCTGCTGCTGCTGCTACTGCTGGCGCGGACGCCCTGCAGATGCTCATGGGCAGACGGGCTGAGCGACTACACAACGGTCATCCAAGTGACCAACGGCGGCCCCTGGGGCGACTGGGCCTGGCCTGAGATGTGTCCTGAAGGGTACTTCAGCAGCGGCTTCTCGCTTAAGGTGGGGGAGGCTCAGGCCTAGCGGAGGTCCTGCAGGGGAAGGAGAGGCGCAGGGCACAGGGCGCAAGGCGCGGAGAAGAGCCGCGCCCTGACTCCTCGCCCGTTCAATCCCGGCCGCCCAGGTGGAGCCCTCTCAGGGCCTTCCCGGCGACGACACGGCTCTGAACGGGGTCCGGCTGCACTGCACGCGGGGGAACGCCGAGCGCAACACGCATGTGGTGGAGTCCCAGTCTGGAAGGTGAGGCAGGGGCCATGGGTATGTCCCTTACCCTCTGCTAGACGCCCCCGCCCGCCCTCTGCATCCTGGAGCCCCTGGCTGGAAAAGTCCCAAGGCTTGGGTCGGCCTGGGGGTGGGTAGGGCGCGCCCGCAGTGCCCGCGCGTCTCCGCTTCCCGTGCAGGTGGGGCGCATGGAGCGAGCCGCTGTGGTGTCCTGGCGGCGGCTTCCTAGTGGCTTTCTCGCTTCGCGTGGAGCCATCCACCACTCTCGGGGACAACACGGCAGCGAACAACGTGCGCTTCCGCTGCTCAGACGGCACCGAGTTGGAGGGCCCTGGCCAGACCTGGGGGGTCTTTGGAGACTGGAGCGGCTCCTGCCCCAAAGGCGTGTGCGGCTTGCAGACCAAGGTCGAGCGGCCGCGCGGCCTGCGCGACGACACCGCGCTGAACGACCTGCGCCTCTTCTGCTGCCGCAACTGACCACCAGCGCCCCCTCCCGGGCCCGGAGGGTACTCCCGCCTGCCGCTATTAAATCCTCTGTCTGGGCTCCGGTCTGGTTTGTCGTGAGGAAGGGAGGGAAGCATGTGCCCCGCCCCCCAAACCTAGCACGAGGCCAGGCCTGCTCTGGGGTTTGGTCTCGCGGGTGCATGGCTGGCTGCTGAACGTTCCAGATCCAATGTCTGGGAAACCGTGTTTAAACATGCAATATTTAAAAAGTGAAGCAGGAATCTGCCTTTTTACTGATTTATTTGTGAAGAATCTAACAATCTCTCCCTTTTTAAAATACCTATTGGAGCCAACGTTTTGGCATAGTTGATTAAACCACTGCTGGCAATGCCAGCATCCCATATGCGTGCCTGTTCAAGTCCCAGCTGCTCCACTTCCTACCCAGCTCCCTGCTAATGCACCTGGGAAAGCAGCAGAGGATGGTCTAAGTGCTTGGGCCCCTGCACCCACATGGGACACCAGGATGGAGCTTTTGGCTTCTGGCTTTGGCTGGCACAGGCCCATTGGGGATTTGGATAGTGAACCCAATGGAAGATCCGTTTCTCCCTCTCTCTGTAACTCTGCCTTTCAAGTAAAATAAAATAAATCTTAAACAAATAAGTAAATAAATATGGGCTGGCGCTGTGGTATAGCAGGTAAAGCTGACACCTGCAGTGCCAGCATCCCATATGGGCACCAGTTCAAGTCCCGGCTGCTCCACTTCTGATCCCTGCTGTGGCCTGGAAAAGCAGAAGAAAATGGCCCAAGTGCTTGGGCCCCTGCACCTGTGTGGGAGACTGGCCCAGCTCTCGATATTGAAGCCATTTGGGAGTGAACTAGCAGATGGAAGGCCTTTCTCTCTTCCTCTGCCTCTCTACCTTTCAAATAAATAAATAAATCTTTTTTAAAAAATAAATCAGTCTTTAAAGGGAGGGCCAGTACTGTGGCACAGCGGGTTAAGCTGCCACCTGGGATGTCAGCATCCCATGTCAGAGTGCCAGTATGAGTCCCGACTGCTTTGGCTTGAATGCAGCCCCCAGGTAATGCGCCTGGGAAAGCAGCTGAAGATGCCTCAAGTGCCTGGGCCCCTGAAGCCCACATGGGAGACCCGGATGGAGTTCCAGGTTCCTGGCTTCGGCCTGGTCCAGTTTCGGCTGTTGTGGTCATTTGGGAATGGAAGATCCCTCTCTCCCTGTCTATCACTCCACCTTTCAAATAAATAAAATAAATTTTAAAAAAGGAAATAACAAGCTGTCGCAGGATTCCCAAGCCCCAGACACTCCTTTCACGTGGCACAAACTGAGTCGGGGAGGAAAGCTCAAAGCAGTTTATTCCAGAGAGCCGGGGCAGAAGCGGGCGGGGCCGGGGGGCATCCAAGAGCCAGCAGGTGCAGGGCGGCGTGGATGTGGCCTCAGTGAACTTCCTGCGGGAAAGACAGAGTAAAGATGCTGCCAGGAGCAAGCGGGTGCCCAGTATGACGCCACCGCCCGGCCGTCCCACCTTCTTCCGGCAGTCGCCACAGAAGACACCAATGGTGGCGTTCACCAGCTGCAGCCCGCACAGCACGATCTCCAGGCACGAGGCGGCCACCAGCAACGAGAACAGCGTCACGTTCCAGGGCACCACGCGGGGCGGTGACTCGCACAAATCCCACTGAGTATCGTTGAGCAAGTAAGAGCCTCTGGGGGCGGGGCGGGGCAGGGAGGCATGACGTCACTAGTGCGTGGGGGGGCCGCGCATGCGCCCTAGGGGGTTGGCCCACGTGGAGCTAGCGCCGTCGAAGCCGCGGCCGACCACGTGGGAAGGGCGGGAACGAAAAGGCCGCAAAGCCTTACCCGGTCTCTTGGAAGTGGTAGTCCCACTTGCCGTCTATCAAACATTTGGGTCCGTTTCGGAGCGCAGTTCCCGACACTGAGAGGCAGTAGATAGCCCCAAGCACCCCAATCGCTGAGGAGAAGACCGAGCTCAGCATCTGGAAGAGGGGTGGGGAGTGAGTGAGGCGAGGAGCGCCCTCCTGGCGGGCCCGCCCCTCACAGAACCGCACGTCGCTTGAATCTGGTTAGAAATACATTTCCCGTCAAGCCCCGCGCTGGGAATTGGGCTAATCCTAAGAGGCGGGGTCGCTGAGGTTCATGGGAGTTGTAGTTCCCCTCTGGTCAGGGTCGCTGAGGCCTGAGATTTGTGGGTTCGAGGGGAGGGTGCGATGGACCCTGTTGGGCCTCCGCAGAGGGCGTCATGCAACTAGGAATTCTGTTGGGCGTGCTGTGTGGCTCTGCCAAGGCGAAGTCAGAGTCCGGGTCCTGAGTTCCTTCTTCATTTGAATCTTACCCTGCAGCGGTTCCCACAGCAGCCTGCGCCACAGCAACCCTTGCCTCCTGCCCGGACGGCTGAAATCCCTGGACACAGTATCTGTGGGACAAGAGTCGGTGTGATAGCAGTCCCCGCAGATCCCCAAGGCCTTCCTTGCGTCAGCGCGCACCTCCTGCAGGAAGCTACCTGGGATCCCCTCAGCCCTTTGGACTACAGAAAGACCTTATCACCACTTCTCTTCCAGCTCTGTTGAGCGCTACCTCAATCTATCATTATTTATGTGCTTACCTTATCTCTGTCCGTACTGTAGCCTCCTAGAGGGTAGGGTCCAACATCAGTATAGTCTCCACAAGTCTCGGCACATAGTAGGTGCCCAACTGGCAGTCAGGAGGCCTGCTGTTAAGGCCAACCCTGGATTACTTCACGCTTTATGAATTGGTTCATGTGTCTGGGACTCAGTTTTGCCTCGTGTAAAATGGGTGTGCAAGACCTACCTCACGGGGCTATGGTCAAGATTGAATCAGGGCTGGCGCCGTGGCTCACTAGGCTAATCCTCCACCTTGCGGCGCCGGCACACCGGGTTCTAGTCCCGGTCGGGGCGCCGGATTCTGTCCCGGTTGCCCCTCTTCCAGGCCAGCTCTCTGCTGTGGCCAGGGAGTGGAGTGGAGGATGGCCCAGGTGCTTGGGCCCTGCACCCCATGGGAGACCAGGATAAGTACCTGGCTCCTGCCTTCGGATCAGTGCGGTGTGCCGGCCACAGCGCACGGCCATGGCGGCTATTGGAGGGTGAGCCAATGGCAAAAAAGGAAGACCTTTCTCTCTGTCTCTCTCTCACTGTCCACTCTGCCTGTCAAAAAAAAAAAAAAAAGATTGAATCAGATCAAAGGTTGATCATGTCAAGTCTGACTCAAGAGAATTCTCGGAATCTCTGACTTCCTTCTGTGCTAGGAAGGGATAGTGGTGCGGAGTGGCTGGTGAGCTGGGGCTATGGCAGAGTGTGAAAGAGTGTATTAGCGAATGCTCCGATGTGGAGTGTAGGATTTCCCGAGATTCAGCCTCTGTTTTTTTTCCCCCTCTGTGGTCTTCCTTCCCAGTACACCCAATGCATTCCCTTCCATGATATCACCTGTTTCTCCCGCTAATAGTTGTGTCTAGATTCAAATCTGACTGAGGAGATGTTCATTTGAACATCTTAGTTTGAGCTGAAATTCAGGTAGCCTCAGATCGACTGCACCCTATGCCCCAACTTCAGCTCCCTTTGATTTTCTTGTCTACATCAATGGAAGAATATTCTGCTGGTGACCCAGGCTGGAGAACTTTAATCCTCCTATTTAACTGGCTTCTGATCTCTTTCTCCTTCCTCTTTTCTCATTCAGCACCCCCCCCTCCATGAGGAGACTGTTCTCAGCCTCCCTCCTGGTTCCCATAGCTCCTGCCCCACGCATCCCACACTGCACCACCAGATCCACAGAGCTTTTGCTCAGACCTGTTAGGGTCTCTTCACAGAGCAGCCCAGCAAGGCGTTCGAGGCCCTCACTCCATCTGCAGCGTTGCCTTTGTCTTTGTTTCATGAGGTTCATTGCCAAGGCCAGGAAACAGGAACTTGGTCTGGGTCTCCCACCAGGGTGGCAGGGACCCAGCTAGCTGAGCCATCACCTGCTGCCTCCTGGGCTGTGCATCCGCAGGAAATGGGGATCCAGGGCACAGCCAGGACTCCAACCCAGATACTGCAATATGGGATGCGGGTGTCCCAGGCAGAGCTTTAACCAGAAGACAACGGCCACCCGAAGATTTTTTACTGTTTTTGGTCAAAGTATTTGCTTCCTTTTGTAGTCTGAGCTTCTCTGTCTTGCTCTCTGCAATCTAACTGTCTTAATGAAAAGAGAAAGGCCATCAGAAACACCGAATTCATAGCCTGGATCTGCTCCTTTTTCTTCATCTCCATGGCCACTGGATGGCTCCAAGCCACTGTCCCTCTCCCGGACAACCGCAGTGACCTCTTCCTGGCCTTTCTGCATCTATGGCTGACCTCCCGTCCGTTCTGCACGCGAGGGGCCAAGGGAGCTTCTTCAATCCAGTGCGGGTGTGGAGCCACTAGAGCTCTCACACTGCTGATGGCAGTGACACTGGAGCTCAGTACCGTGTTTGACAGTACGCGGTAGCACCCAGTATTTGCCATTCCATAAGAAGCAGCAGTTTTGCTCCTAGGTGTTTATCTACCAGAAACGTGCACTCACCTGAAGACATCTGCAGGAACCTCTACAGTGGCATGGTCTGCAACAGACCCAAATGTTCGTCAACAGTGGGATGTTAAAAGATTGCGGGGTGGGCCGGCGCCGCGGCTCACTAGGCTAATCCTCCGCCTAGCGGCGCCGGCACACCGGGTTCTAGTCCCGGTCTGGGCACCGGATTCTGTCCCGGTTGCCCCTCTTCCAGGCCAGCCCTCTGCTGTGGCCAGGGAGTGCAGTGGAGGATGGCCCAGGTGCTTGGGCCCTGCACCCCATGGGAGACCAGGAAAAGCACCTGGCTCCTGGCTCCTGCCATCGGATCAGCGCGGTGCGCCGGCCGCAGCGCGCTGGCCGCGGCGGCCATTGGAGGGTGAACCAACGGCAAAAGGAAGATCTTTCTCTCTGTCTCTCTCTCTCTCACTGTCCACTCTGCCTGTCCAAAAAAAAAAAAAAAAAAAGATTGCGGGGTGCAGTGGGCATTTAGCCTTGACGTTAAAGACACCTGTGCCTCACATTGGTGTGCTGGAGTTTGACTCCCGGCTCCAGCCCTGGATTCCAGCTTCCTACCACTGCTGAGCCTGGGAGGCACAGGCGATGGCTTAAGTACCTGAGTACCATGTAGGAGAGCTGAACTGAATTCCTGGCTCCTGCAGTTGCAGGCATTTGGGGAGTGAACCAGTGGATGAGAGCTCTGTCTGTCTCTA